CCTAGACAGCTGTGAGAGCCTGCTGCTCAGTCCCTCTGCTCCCCCTCTTGACTATTTTCTGCTTTAATTTATTTTCCTCATAGCTCCCCAGAGTAGCATTATAGCATGTAAATCAATCCTTCTCTTACTTAAAACTCCCCGGGGCCTTCCTATGTATTTAGAGTAAAACTTTCAATCTATGCTATGGCCCCGAGTCTCTGTGAGATCTGGCCTCTGCCTGCTTCTCTAATGATGCAGTTCTGTGTCAGCCTAGCTCTTCCTTATCTCTCTGCGCCTTGGAGAAGCTTTCTCAGGACACCCTAAGTAAGTCCCCTTTAATTCCACTTTCTCTATTATCTGTTGCTGCAGCAGTTTCATTTTATTCATAGTGCATCACAGTTTATACATTCACAATTGTTTATTTAAAATGTGCTACCTCACTGTACTTGCCAGCTCCCTGAAGCAAAGACTCCCATACCCTCATACGCTATCATCAACATATCTTTATATCCTCAGCACCCTGTGCTGTACCTTACAGGCAATTAGTAATATCTGTTGAATAAATAAATGACACAAATAGGGGACACAAATGGGGGGAAAGCTACAGAAATGAAAGTTGTGGGAACTGAAGATAAATTTTACCTGGGGTGATTTTTGTCCTTTCTTTCATATATCCCTTCTCAAAATGTTCTTATCTATGAAAAAAGAAATCTAAAATATCTATTAAAAATAGGTATTTGGGGCACAAGACATAGGTCTGCAAATGCAATTCATGATGGCATTTCTATCTTACCATTAACCAGATTAAAAATTATTTCTTGTGATCACAGCTCAACTGAGTTTTAACTCTAAGTTAAAATAGGCTACACAAAGACAATTTCTCATATAAATATTTTAAAGGGAGGAGGGAAGAATCTTGAAAGCCAATCAGTAGCATTTCCTGGTATACATCATTGAAAGTGCTAATGACAGATTATTTTGTCTGTTTGTGGAACTGGTGTAGAAAACTTCAGATCGAGGGCATGGCAACCCACTCCAGTATTCTTGCCTGGAGAATCTTCATGAACAGAGAAGCCTGGCAGGCTACAGTCCAGGTCACAAAGAGTCTGAGGTCTGAGGTCACAAAGAGTTGGACATGACTGAGTGACATAGTACAGCCCAGCATAGGCACCGTGGCCCATGCTGTTGGCTCACTCATCAACGTCCATTCTCATCCTCCCCATTTTAGAGGCTGGAAAACCTTATTCTTGCCTTTCCTACCTTCAGTGCTACTAGAAGTGATCACGGGCCATTGTTCTGACTAATGAGGTGGATAGGAGACGTCTGCTTAGGGTGGGAAGTATATTGCTCAGCTTTGTTTTCCTGATCCAGAGAGGCAGAACGGACTGCAGTACTTCCTCCCCATCTTCCTGCTTGAACCTGGACACGGCACCTGGGAGCTGCCACCTTGTGCATAGGAGTAAATACCGGGGCAGCCACAAAATAGCAGATCCTCATTTCACTGAACCATGAGCTACTGTCTGCCTCCACTTTCCTTTTCATCTAAGAAAGATAGCTCTCCATCTGGTCACATTACTCTGGTCAGATGATTGAGCTACTTACAACTAACTGTATTTGGCCACATTTCATTGTTTTTTTTTTTTTGTTGTTGTTGTTAGTATACATTAATATAAATATTGAACAAATTAAGGGAAAAAACCAAAGCTACTTGTGTATGTATGCAGATATATGCAATTTAGGTGGAATTTAGTCTCCCAAATTCTAAATTCTGAGAATTTATGATACACTGTTAATAAATAGCAAGAAAAATTAATTGAAGCTGATTTGAAAGGATGTTTGAGTATATAAAGCCCCTTAAAAATATAATACCTCTTACTGTAACCCCAGGGTGTCTAGTGCTATGTATATCAGAGGCTCTTAAAGCTCCATGGACTTTTGATGCTGTTTATGTCAAACATATAAACAACAATAACAGAAGCTTCTAGTTGTCTGCTTGGCCCTGGCTTTCATCACTGTCTTAGCATCCTTGTGTTTTTGGTCCTTTTGACAAGTATGTGCTTTTTCTTTTTAGCATATATTCCCATCAAATGTTGCGATGCATATTCTGACTCTTAGCGGGGTTTCTGCAGGCTGCTAAGTGCTGGAGTTGGCCAAGCTAGGCCTGGTTAGCATGAGTCCATCTCACATGGATAAAACTCCTTATTCTGGCAGGTTGACTCCTCTCGCTGCCTGTCAGACCCTCAAAACCAAAATGACAAATCCTTCTGCCCAGTCCCTGTGAGGGGCGTCTCAGGAATCTAGGAGTGAATCACTGTGCTGCTTTGTCTGTGGGTGTGCCCAGGAGAGAGAGGTCCATTGGCTTTTCATTGTGAGCCATGGCACCCTCCTTCTAGTGAAGTTTACAATACATAAATTTGATAGAACTGAAGTAGCTTCTCGCTTATTGTGTTTCCTATGTGTTGTCTAAATAGTGTGTTACGAGTTCTATATGTTTCGGTCTTTATTTGTTGTTGGGTCATAGTTGTGGCAGCTGGGATCTTCGCTGAATTGTGCTGGAACTTTTATGGTGTACATGGACTCTCTAGTTGTGGTACACGACCTCATTAGTTGGGGCGCCTTAGTTATTCCATGACACGTGGGCTCTTAGTTCCCTGACCAGGGATGGAACCCATGTCCCCTGCATTGCAAGACAAATTCTTAACCACTAGACCACCAGAGAAGTCCCTGTATCAATCTTTTTTAAACCTCACAACAATACTAGAGGTTGTTTGCCGTTTTACCAGTGAAAATACAGAATCACACAGTGGAGTTGTTATATTAAAGGTGAGGAGGAAGGAGGCTGGGTACTTTCCTGTTTAGTCTCATCTTCACCTCAAGATCAGTTCCTAAGATAGCCTCATAGAACTCTCAGGAGCCCTGGAAACATAGTCTGAAAACCCTCTTCTAGCCAGAAGTCACAAACTCACACGCCCTCTCAGGGGCCAGCTGAGTCACAAAGGAGTGAAGCAGCTCGCTGGGGGCTGCGGTCCGTGCGGATGTCATGGATCAGCTCTGGAGGGCAGCTGTCACTCGGTTTTGGAGCGTCACTGGCAGACTGTGCAGGTTATAGAAGCATGCCTGGTAGCAGATTCAGTTTGTGGGTCACTAACTTGAGACTTCAGGAGGAACAGTGGGGTGTGTGAAAACACAGCCTGAGGTCAGACCACACGGGTGCCTTTAGGAGGTAAGATGCCCAGTCAAGAAGGGAATACAGGAGAGAAAACAAGCCCATGGGCCTTCTCAGACACCTGCATGTTTGGATGGCCCATGACACTGAATCATTGCTTCCCACAGTTTATCTACTGGCCTGAGTTATTTTTAAGCAAGCCTTTCCCCTGCTGGGTTCTCTCTGCTCTTTACCATGTGTCTGCCAGCACTGGCCAGGCAGCCAGTCTCACACCTCTTCTCCCACACAACGCCCCCCTCCCCCGACTGTCTTCTTATTTAGAGAAAAACAAGATTATAATGGTGAGTGATGAGATGATCTAAATTATACAGCAGGTGAAGTGAGTCCTGCGGGAAGCTCCTTAGGAAGATTTTATTCCACTGCCACTTAGGAATATTGGCCCTCGCAGACACTCAAATGTGAGCCAGACAGGTGGTACCGATGCCTCTGGCACATGTGTATGAGGCCTTCGTATTTATGCAGTTATGCCCCCAGAAAGTGAGAGTGTGTGCAAATCTATTCACGCAGCCAAGTGCTAAGCCATGTCTCCCCGCATGCTTTAGAAGCTTGGTAATCGATAAGGGACTGCCTGATTAAAGAGCTCATAGATATTAAGCAACTGTAAAAGGAAATACAATCAGTGCTTATTTATCAGGTAAATTGGAGGGGATTTGTGACATGAACATTCCAGAATATAGCTGAAAGAACATTATACAGAGACGGAAAGGGGGACCAGTAACTATGGGAACTGATTTAGATGAAAGTGAAGTGTGTCCGACTCTTTGCGACCCCAGAGACTATACAGTCCGTGGAATTCTCCAGGCCAGAATACTGGAGTGGGTAGCCTTTCCCTTCTCCAGGGTGATGGTCAAATTTCTTTTCCCCCCTTCTCCTTTACCTTTTCCCTCCCTCCCTCTCTCTCTTCTCTTCTCTTTCTCCCTCCCTTCCTCCTTTCCTTCCTTCCTCTCTCCCTTCCAAAAACCTTTCTCAAAAGAAATTGTATTCACAAGTCCAATATGTAAAACAGATGAAAATGGAGCTACTCATGTCCAATGTGAGGGCTGAAACCTCATTGATTTGGCCACCCCAGTATTCTCAATATGATATCTGAGGCATTTCCAAGAAACTTCATTCCCCAGCCACAAGAAACAAATTTACATCACCATTGGACCTAGACAGTTTCCAAGATCTTACTCAGAACCAAGAAAAGAAGAACCATTTTCTCTTAGAGATGAAGACACCAAGGTCTACAAGAGTCAAGTGACTTGTCCAGAGCCACACAGAAAGTGCTAGAACCAGAGCAAGAACCCAGTCAGAATTCAGTGCTCCTTCTGCCACTCAGAAATAGTTTGGGGTTGTGGTCTGAGTCTTGACTCACCTCACCACCAGCTGTGTAACCTTGAAAAGATATCCCACATTTCTGTGGTTCCTCATTTGTAAAAGGAGGTATCACAAGTGTCCCCACCTAATGCTTCTGTGAGGATTCAGTGAAATAAGGCATGAAGAGGACTCAAAACCTTGCTTAGCATGTGCTCAAAAATGTTAGTGGTACAATACCGCACCTCCCATCCCTTTTCTGTACTATAACTACAGAACATTAGAGTCACAATTATGCCTGTTAATCTTGACAGAACACATCACCCAGACAGCAGACAGAGCTGGTCAAGGTGTGTCCAGATCCTCCATAGCATGCAATGGACAGTTGACAGTAAAGCGTAGTTGAGGACTAAATACAATAAAGTCTGGAAGAAATTGCCGTCGCTAACTCCCCATGTGTATATATGGCGTTGAGTAAAGGTGATAAGAGCTGACTGACCTGGGAGAGATGTCACAGCCTTGCTGCATGAAGGCTCCCAGGGAGAACCACAGGCTGTTGAATATCCCAAACTCATTGGACTGGTCGCTGGGGGTCTGGTCTCGCCCTTCCTCAAACTCTTCGCTGTGCCATTCATAGGGGCTGAAGCGGCTGACCAGGAAGAGAACGACGCTCACTCCAATGTAGGCGAATACGATGCACATCCAGATCTCATAAGCCAAAGGATCCAGGAAGGAAAAGACCCCTGGCTTGGACTTCTGCGGCTTTTTTATCATGATGGAAATCCCCAGACTCATAAACGGCTTGGAGAAATCTATCACCTCTTCCCGGACCAAGGTGATTGTTAAAGGGGCAACGGCCACATCTGCTCTCTGCAAAAAAATATAGTGGAGAGAAGAAAACAGGCACTTGAGTTCATCAGCTCTCTGTTCCCTCATTTTCCTCTTCACTCTGAATATTCTTTTGTATCTCAAAGGATGTGAGAGAAAGAACCTCAGAAATGCAACTCCTCCTAGCCTCTGTAAAATATTTATGATAAATGGCTGATCAGCTCAATATCTCACAGGAGAGATTATCCCATTCTTTGACAGTTCTAATTGTTAGGGGTGACTTCCTCACCTTATGGAAGGAAGGGGGCTGTTGTAATGTCTCTAATTTTTTTTTGTCTACCCAGCAATCATGCCTTCTTCCCCTGAAAGAACTACTCCTTCTCTACTGTCTGTCCTCCAGTTCAAGTGGGGCTGATAACCCTTAATCTAAGGTGAAGCACATTCCCCAGATCTGGCCACTAGGGTACTCCACTCCCCTGGCCACAGTGGCTCATTCAAGGATGGCACAAGACCCAAGTCTCTTTAATGAGCATGAGCCCTGAAAGTCAGAGTGAGAGATGATTCATGATGAAATAACTTGGGTGACCCTTAATTCATAGCTTATCCTGCTATCTCTAGGAACATGGTAGAAACATGCATCAAAATACTCTTTTGTTTGTCCCAAGGAACATGAACGAATCATTCTGCTTGCCTAAACCAGTTGGAGTTGGGGTACTTTTACCTGCAACCAAGACAGTCCTGGCTAACAAGATAGATAGTGAAGGCAAGTTCAACTCAATAAATATTTATTGGGCACTCATATGCAAGCCCTAGACTGAAAAGAAAACTGTCATCTCTATGACTAGTAAAAGTTGGTATACATACACACACACACACACACACACACACACACACACGGTAGTTTCCCAAACTACAGGGTAGATTGGATACGTGCTAGATACCATACCATGAGAAACATTTTGTATCTAAGAGATACAAAGTGCTACAGGAGGTCAGGAAGGAATTAATTCTGTCTGGGGAGGTCAGCAACTGCATTCTTGAAGAGGTAACATATATATTGACATTGAAGAGGGAGTAGGATTTCAATGGGTTGCTCGGATACAGAATACATTCCCAGAGGAGAGAATCATGTGAGGAAGATCTGGCAGAGAGAATAAAGTAGTATCACAACTATTTTTTTTCCAGGAAGACTGCTAAGAAGTGCACAAATAATTCAGTTTTTAAAATTTGTGTAGATAAACATAAAATAGTTGCAAGAAATGGTCATCTTTGGGCATACAGCACCAGCCTTGCCCTTCTGTCTTTTCAGGAGCATTGCCATCTATGCTCCAAAAATCCATTGCTCTCCTGGCCTGAGATTAAGCGATCCTGGAAATCTAACACAGTTCCATGGAGGGATGCCATGACATTCATTTTTGAAATGACAGGCATGTCTGTGCAAGTCTGTTCAAGGCAGGTGGTTTTCTCTAGTAACAGTCCAGATGTGAGGCTGCAGACAGATGCTGTCCAGACCCCAGCCACACCCAGCTGCCAGCTGGTATTGCTCAGGAGGGGTTTCCTCTGGTTATTCTCATTGGATGAGATTTTTGAGAAGGCATTTTAAATGGAATAAAAAGCCTGGCTTTAGAATGACTTAAATTTGTCACTTACGGAAAGAAACTTTCTGTAAAGCAATGTGGGATTGAGTGTGTGTCTCAGCAGTTCTGTTTTTTTCCCCCGCTAACACCTACTGCCTAAATCATGATACTTTTTACAAACACTTACAAGCCATTGCCAGGGAGATAGTATCTCCTTTTTTTCTTATAGGTAGAAAAGGAATAAGGGAGAAAAGTCATAGAAATGACTCAGAGGGAATAACTACAAGTTACCCAAGAGGGAGGTGGGTGAAGACCGTCTTCAAAGATGGTAAAGGGAATTGAATGGATTTGTCTGATGCCTCCTGATGTGAGTTAATAAAAGGGACTGTGACTTGGAAAAAAATCACAAAACCAATCATCTTAGTTCTTATTTAACTTAGCAGTTCCAAGATTTGTTCCATGTAACATTATTTGTGGAAGGATGTAACTAACTATAACATAAAAATTAACATGAATTTAAACTGGCAGAACTTCTTAGAACCTTTAGCAGACTACTGTGCACTGAGAATTTCTAAGAGGGATAAGCAGATTTAGTATTTCCAAAATTCTTTGTCCATTGAGCCCCAAGCATAGGAAGGCACCCATATGCATAGGATACACACAAGTGGGAAATGCAGTGACATCATTTTGCAGATAGGAGCCCGGCTCCAGAGAGAGAAGGTGGTTTGTGCTAAGCAGCATGAGTTTTGAACAACAAGTTTTAGTTTGTTTGATGTTGGCTGGAAGGTCTTAGGAGTTGATTTCCAGCACCTGAGGAAGTCACTGGACCTTTGCAGGACCACTTACGGGCAAGGGTCATCTGGGAAAGTAGACCTGACTTCTTGGCTTTGTGACTCACTGACCATGTGCCCTCGAGTGAGACAGTTGTCCTTATGAATATCAGTTTCCTCTTTAGAAAAAGAGGCATAATAAATTTTGCTTTATCCACTGGACAGCAGTGTTTTGTGAGAGTCAAAAGAATTCAAATACGTGAGAGTACTGTGAACCGTGGGCATTTCACAGGTACTCAAAATTATTTCCTGAAACTGACGTCTTGAGACAGTGATTCTCAAACTTGAGTGTGCAGACATCAGAAGCACCTTGGCGTTTTTTAAACCACAGATGGCAGACTTTCTAGATCACTGGGTCTGGGGAGACCTGAGAATTTGTATTTCTAGCAAGTTCCTGGGTGATGTTGCTGCTGCTGGTCCAGACTTAAGAGAACCACTGACCTAGGAGATCCCCAAACCAAATGTCTGGAAACAATCTTGGGAAAACAGCAAACAGTGTTGATGCAGTAGGTAAAAGCAAAAATGGGAGAAAACCATCAGGGATGGAGAGCCACTCTGAGCCAGGCACTGTGTAAGGTAATACTCCCCACCCAGCCCTGGGACGGAGAACTCAGGGGAACCCTGGAAGGAGATCAGTGGCTCGCAGGAGTCATATTGCTAGTGAGCAGGCAGAGTCAGATTTCAAATCTGATTTGTGTGTGTGTGTGTGTGTGTGTGTGTGTGTCCGTCCAAAGTTCACTCTGTTTCTGCTTCATTAAGACAAAGAACAGGCCAGAATGTCATGGCAGCCCAGGCACACAGCTGTGCCTATGCAATAAGCGGGGCCTTCATTTGTAGCCTATGGCATTTGAGAATGCACTGAGGCCATTCTTATCACTTTGTGTCCTTTGCCCAATGGCCTAATATCCCTGGCTTCAGTGTCCTCGTTGATCAAATGTGGAGAGGAATCATACCCACCTTCTGGGGTTGTTATAAGGAGTAAGTGAAACAACATGGGTAAAGTATTTAGCACAGTGCCCGGCATAAATGATGTGCTGAAATGCTCCTATTACCTTGGTGGATAAGAGCAAGAGTGAGCAAACGGAAGATGAGACACCCTGATTGACTTGGCTTATTTGAGAGGCACAGAAAGAAGAAATCTGGAGCCCTCCAAGTAAATTATTTTCTGGCCTTGCTGGTCATTTGTGGCTAGAGATGCCTCCCCAGACCCCTCTATTCTTTCTTAGGTGGGACAAACAAGAAAAGCCAAACTGAAAATGCCCTCAAGAGAGGGCATCCATTTGGGCACATCATAGTCTTCAGAATACAGCTGTTACTGGGCAGAGGGACAGGCCTGGTGGAGGTGAGGGAACAAGAAAGACTGGCAGCTGAGGCACCCAGAGGTGATTTCTGTCATTTATGAGCCAGTGACCCATGGCTGATGGCTGTGTACTGGGGGGCTTTCCCTCAGGATAATCATACTGTTGTTCTGCCCAGATCTTGGGCCTTTTACTAAAGGAACCAGATTACATTGGGTGAAGGTGAAGATGAATTCTGGTGGAGGTGAAAAGTTCACAGCAGTTGCCATGGGGATGACCTTAAGAATTTGGTGGAAGTTCCCATGGAAACAAGCTTCCCAATGCAGCATTAACCATCTAGATCTTCTCTCTTTCATCGATGACACTTCCCAAAAGTGAGAGGCAGCAGATGAGAGAGAAGGTAGAAGCACAACCCCTTTCTTAACTCATTAACCATCCTCCCAGGTCATATCAAAAGCCACCTTCTTAGAAAGAATTTTCTTTATTCTATCTCTTTCTTCTTTGAATTCCCTTTTTATGGCTCTTATGGCCATCATGACTCTTATTTCCTCGATCTGAGACAATGGGATTTTAAAAGCTCCTAAATGGTTGCTTTATCCTGATCAGAACTTCTTACCATACTGGGGCTCAGCATTTGCTTCTGTTCAAAGCCCTAGGCAGGAGTCTTTGATTTATATGATGAAGCTGTGGTGGTGCCTTTCCTGCGCATGGGGGCAGGATTCTTCTTCTATTGCCTTTTGTTGTTTCTCTCCTTGAGTATCTTCATGATCTTCCGGTGCCTGCTGAGTCAATCCACACCCTTTCCCTTATCATTTCTTACTCAGTCTTGTCACTGACTACTCAACTGAAGCCCTCTACTAAAAATCACCAGTGTTTTCTCATTCTTCTTTCACAACTTATTTCTATCACCATCTTACAGTTATGGGCTGCCTTCCTCTGTACCTGCATATGGCCGCTTTTCAGGCTACACATCTTTCTTGTGGGCTAGACTACCTCATGCTAGCCTTTTGCATGGACCTTGATTCTTTGCTATATTACCATTCTCCCTCACTGTCTTTTCTATGTCAGAAAATGCTAAGTTCCTTGGGGACAGGGATCAGATCTTTTAGTTCTCAATGGTTCCTGAAATAGTTAAAACAATTCAGGGCATTCAGTGACTTCTCCAAAATGCTTCAATTTATTGGAGGTGTTATAGCAATTGTGTGTGGTCTTATTTCAAGTGTAGTGAATGGAGTAGACCAATCCCTGTTCACAGATTACAAGTGTCCAAGGCAAGGTAAGCCATAATAGAAGCAGAAGCTGAATCCTACAGTGAAGGCGAGAATAGTTAAAAAGGGTTCTCCCCATACCTTTTATGGAGAGAATGACACCTTGGGAATCGCAGTATGTGATACAGGTTTGGGGGGAAGGGTAAGATTTTAGAGGGGCAAAATGGAAGCGGGCACCCTAGAGAACAGAGTTACTTGGGGTGGTTTGGCTGAAATGGAAGGTGCTGGAAAGGGCAAGTGACTAGAAAGTTTGATTGTATCCAGGACGCATCTATCCAGGGAAGAAATTTATTTTGAGGGGGCCTTAAGTGACTGAACAGGAAAGTGACCACTCAGCAGTCTGCCTTGGGAAAACTAACGTTAAAGCTAAACTCTCACCTATATTGGATGATGATCAACTGAAGTCACAAGACTGAACTGAGTCTGGCTGGGACCCAGAAGGAGCTGGGACCAGGAACCTGAGCAAAAAATGTCTTAAGACATTGGATTTTGGATTCTTCATCTTTCTAGCAGCAACAATACTAAACTCTAGGGTCTAATAGGCATCTATGGGTAGGGTCATCTAACCACCAAAATATCCTGTCAAACCATCTGTCTCTGCCTCTAATTCCCTACCCTATGGGGGACTTACTCCATAGACCAGCTCTCCCACCATGCCATTCCAAGCCTTTGTGTCAGGGTCACGGGCTCCGTATTTTCCATCGCTGACGATCTCAAGACGGTAGGAATATCCCACATGCTTGGCAATCTCTGCTGCCAGTTCCACACAGTAGCCCTCGTAGCGGTCATTGCCTTCAAACTGGTTGGCATTCTTCTTGAGCATCACATAAGGATCTTCCTGGTGGAGAAACGGGAGACAGAGAATGTGGGTTTGGGGTTCACTCTTGGAGAGGGAGGCCTTTGGCATGGCAGAGGAGTTAACATTGGTTAACTTTGGGGGAGTCTCTCTAGCCCCTAAACCCACTTCCTGTATTTCTGCCCCCCCGCCCCCCATTACAAAACTTCTTGGGTTAAGGAAGAAAACTGTTAAAATAAGAATGTTTCATTGAGATGTCGTGCATAGCTTTTCAAGTGATGTTTCAGGAGCTCTTGTGTTTCTTTGAAGGTACGTTTAGGGGTGTGATGGTGGGGAAGTAGACCCTAAATAGGTTCCAAGATTCTCATGATCAACCACTGCAAATCACAGCAGCTTCACTTATATCCACTCTAGGTGATGTACATTAGGGGCTTTCTTTGAAAATGCCTTCTACTGAGGAAGAGTAGTCAGAAGCACCACAATTTAGTCTCTTACATTTTATAGACGGGAAAACTGTGGCTCATAGGAGGGTGATTGACTTATCCAAGGTAACAAAGCGAAATCATGGCAGAGACAGAGAGTGAAAATCCCTCTGAACTTCAGGATAATTTTTAACTCCCTCTTTCTACCTACTGCACAATTTTGGCCAGAAGAATGACCAGCTTTCACTCTTGGGGAAGCGTTTGTATCAGCCTGGCTCACATCCCAGGTAACCTCCACGAGGGACTGAGTACTCACTAGGATTGTGGTGACGATGTATGTTCTATTCTGGACACTTGAGTTATCCCCCCCGGCTTGAGCATCTGTGGCTGCAGGGACGAATTTGTCATCTTCATTCCAGTAGCCAATCTGTTAAGGAGAGGGGTGTGGTGACATAGGGTGAACCAGGATTCTCAGGAATGGCCCACTCTGTGCCCTCTAGCCAACACCAGATAGGAAATCAAGGAGCTGAGTGTCACACCAGCAATGCTGGACATACCGGACTTTAAAGTATGCTAGATATAAACAGCAAGAGACAAGATGCTCTCCAGGTCTGGTCTTCCCAGCCCCACCCCCATGAAAATCCTCATAATGATGGGGAAGCCTGGAAATTGCCTCTTTTGAGGCGTGAGGTTTTAACTGTTTATGTGGCAAATTGTTTTGCCAGTGTAAGTCAGGGTCATAGAGATTTAATTCCCTGCCTTGTTCACAAGGTTAAACTCCTATTTGTTCCATGCCTAGTAATCCTTGTCTTCCTTAGCTCATTCTGAACTATAGTTGGAATCATAGGATTTACAGCTTTTTTTTTTTTTTTTTTTGCTTTCTTTTTAGGTTAAATATATTTTCCCATCTAGATTCAACTTGCTAGGTGATGGTTATTTTATTGTTTGTTTATTTCTATTTCCAATTTTTAAACTATCATAATACTGAGCATACAGTTGTGCCTTCCAATACTGGTTGACAACATTATTTCTTTTAAAGATTAGTTAGTACTTATTTATACTGACTCGTTTTCCAAGGTCTTTCAGCAAGTATTTATAGGATCCCTATTGTGCATAAGACTGTGAGCTAAGATGTTGGTGGTATTGTGTGGCAGAGTTGAGAAAGATATACAGAAGCCTCAGAGATAGTCATTGCTGTGACAGTCTCTCTGCTCTGTTCAGGAAGACATGACACACAGGCGTGTGGCCCCGGAAGTGACACGTGAGTGACTCGGGTAGCTGGAGCCCAGGGAGTTTGGAGCATGAAGCCTATGCTGGGAAGAAGGTGGCCGGAGGAGGCAAGGCGGAAGTCACAAGGGATGGGCAGCGTGAGTCCAAATCTGTCAGGTCGGAGAAAAGATGAGCCCAGATGTAGATGCAGGAGTCTGCCCAGATACGTGAGTTCAGTGGGCCCTGGTGGAGGATAGGGTTAGCTCCAGAGGAAAGTGGGTAGCAGAGGGCTTTGCAGGCCAAGCTAAATGGTGCAGGCCTATCCTGAAGGCAACAGGAAGTCATGGAAGGTTTGGGAAGAACAGAATGGCATGGCTAACACACACACACACACACACACACACACACACACACCCTATCTCTACCCCTGTCTCTATTAAGTTTAGACCACTGTGTTTTGTGGTTGTTCTGCTGGCTGCAGTTGTAAAAGGCAAACAGGAAGGAGAACTGAAGTACTCATGGAGAAGGAAGAGCAGTTCTCCAAAGTCAGTCCAGATTCACGAAATCCGAGGCACATGCCAACCGTCCACTCAAAGGTCGTCTGCACCTTGATGTTTTTCCCAGTCCCCTCAGCTAGAAATAAATAGTTCTCCTTTCCGTCTCACTGCTGTTAACACCAACATTATTAATTGCCAACACTGATCATGCCTTTGCTCTGTCAGAGGCTGTGTATGATAGGTTTTGTGCCACTGCATCTGGCTTAAAGGAGTTTGTTAACCTGCATGGTGAGGGCGGTGATGCAGCTAAGTGGCTGAGGCCGGCCAGGAACCCTGGTCATCTGTCTCCAGGGGCAGCTTTTCACCATGATGCTGTTCTTGCTGAGAGGGGACTTAGCCCTGGGCTGGAAAGCATATTACTTAACAGTATTTGGGTGCTTCTTGTACTTTAGGCACTCTTCTAAGTATTTTTTTAGGGACTTCCCTGGTGGTCCAGTGGCTAAGACTCCGAACTCCAATTGCAGGGTCCTAGCCTTGATCCTTGGTCAGGGAACTAGATCCCACATGCTGCAACTAAGAATTCACATGCACAACTAAAGAATCTGTGTGCTGCAGCTAAGACCCAGTGCAGCCAAACAAATGAAAATAAATATTAATACTGTTTTTTTTTTAATGTTTTAGCTTCTCTCATCCTCCCAAAAACCTATGAAGTGGGTAATTAATTATCACTCCCATTTTAAATGTGAAGAAACTGAGATGTGCGGAAGTGGAATAACTTTCCCAAGGCTGCAGGAGAGTTGTGGAGCCAGGATTGGAGGAGGGCAGGCTGGCCACAGGGCTGTGTGCGTCCATGCTCCGCTAGGCTGCCAGCTGACCCTGAGAGCCTCGTGTTGGTTCCCACTGGCCCCATGGTCTAGCTGTTGGTACATCTGTCCCTGTCTCTCCATGGCCCTCCTCGGGAACAAAGCTAGAGGTCTATTCATCCCAGGCTGCTGATTGTTCTACAGACAAGCAGCTCAGGGAAGAAGGTTTGTTGAGAGAATGAGTGGCTCCAACATGGAGACAGTGGATCCTGTTCATGCTGAGACAGTTTGGAGGCGTGAGGGTGGGTGGGAGGCTGTCTCTCAGAACACGGTCAGCATTTGCCCTTGTGCAGGCATGGGTGCCACGCTGCTCATGTGGGGGCACTTTAAGTTAGCCTGAAACTTAGATTTCCAAAAATATCAGAGCTGGAAGAGGCCTAAAGAATCATTTCTTCTAACCTCTTCCTTTTATAGAGAGGGAAACAGGCTCAGGCACTAGGGGATCTGCTCAAGACCACAGTGCAACCTCATCTCTACTTTGCTAGGCCTGTGCTTCACAGGGCCCTAGGGCATCTGTGAAGCCCCTTTGCCATTTCCACAGGATGTGGGCATGGGGTCAGGGAAGACGGAGGAAGCTATGGATTCTTCATCCCTGATTCAACCGTCAGCTCTGCTTTTAATCAAGTTCACACTTTGGGATTCCCCTTAGGAGTTCATTTTTACAAGGAGACCTTTAATTGAGAAATAAATGTTTCAAGTCATTATTGTAGTATATCATGGTGCGAGTTTAGAAAAATAATTTCCAAACTACTTACTCAACACTTAACATTTTTGCTCCTCACACTATTCAAAAAATACAGACAGGCTGGAATTATTTCCCTTGTTTTATAGATGAGAAAATTGAGGTTTAGGGACGCCAGATGATCAAACTTATGAAGTTTATATAGCAGATGAGTGGAAAGCGTAGAAGCCAGGTCATGGACCTCAGAAGTAGTATTGTTTAATATCATCAGTACAAAGCTGGGAGATGATCTAGCAAACTTAATCACCATTTTTTCCTCCTGTAGATGATGCTATGGTGTCTTCATGCCCTTTCCTCCCCACTTCCTCCTCATGTTTCTTCCTTCCCTCCCTCTTTTCCTTTCTTCCTTCTACCCTCTTTATGATTTGTCACCAGCTTAGCTATTCTTACTAATCTCTGCAGCCATCAATTGTACCATCAGTATCAAGGTAGCGGCCTCCTTTGACATGCAACTAAGTTCTCTAAAATCTATTGAGTTTTGATAGAGTTTTTCAAATATTAAAAAAAAGGATTATCTTTCTTATTTGACTGTACCGGGTCTTGGGAACTTGTAGTTGAGGCATGTGGGATCTAGTTTCCTGACCAGGGTTGAAACCGAGGCCCCCTGCTTTGGGAGCACCAAGCCACTGGACCACCAGGGAAGTCCCTTCATGGGAATTATCTTTAAAAGTGGGGACTTGATGGTCCAGAGATTGGTCTTTGGCACTGGATAGACCTGGTTTAAAAGACAGACTTTCCTAATTACTAACTGTATGACTTGGGCCAGTTACCTGACATCAATGGGCCTCAGTCTCTGCCCTGTAGAGGGGATACAACAAGAGTACCTGTCTCACAGGGCAGCTGTGAGAACCAAATGAGTTAATTCATTGATAACAATAATCATAGTGTGTGGTTCGTATAAGTTGTTATTAAACTAAAAAATGATATTCAGTAGGGTAACGCCTAGTTGAAGGCTAACAGGCTTCTGTGCTATAGGACATTTCAGTTTCATTTTGCTATTGAATGTTGCCAGTTTCCAAAAGAAGTAGATATTATGGAGCATTTCTCAAACTCATTTGACAACGTAACCCTTCTGATATGCAGCATGTCCTAGGATAAATGGTGCAAAACCCCACAAAACACCACTCTAAAATCACAAGCTGTTTTGATTAAAGAGAGAGGGGAAAAGCAAGATAAATCTGTGTAGACAAGATTTATATGGCTTAGAAAGAGACTTAAAGGGTAAGGATCCTTCAGAGTTAGTATCCTAGCACTAATGTTAAATTGGTATCTATAAAAATTATTGTTTAGGTTGGCTTATATCAAAAGCCAGAGGAACATGTAAATGTTATAAACAAGCTTATTTTATTCCTAACCCTTTTGTAGGGAAATAAAAAAATATCACCAGTCGGAAGAGCAGGGTGATGCCAAAACCCAGCTTTGCCCCCCATGTCAGCTAGGAGGCTGAGAAATCTAGTTCCACATTTTGATGAAAAGAGAACTGGAAAAGTTTTTTGAAGAGACATTGCACTTCGGAGATGAGAGCAAATTTCCTTTTCTTAGAGAAATGGGCTGGATTATTATACAGCCCTTTGATTCTCTACTAACGATATGGAGGAAATTTGATTTTGTCTCAAAGTAAATCAGAGCTAGTAGTTTGGTAAAAATTGGGCCCCACTGTTCAAGAGAAGATTTAAACAGTTCTGACCATGATAGGTCTTCTCCTGGAGCCAGTTAGAATTTTTCATCTCCTGTTTTCCATCTACCTCTAAAGATTCTTTGAATATAGAAATGAGTCTGTCATGAGATGATAGATGAGATCTTTTAAAGTAAATACAGCCTAAAAAGAAGATGACCATTGAACAGTATATACAATAGATCTACCTTATACAGTCATCAAATCACATTGACACATTTGTAGTTGTGTCATTTGTAGCTCTAAGCTGCCTCTGAAGCCACAACTCCTAGCCTCCAAAAATGAGATCCATTATGATAAAGTTTTAAAAAGGAAGTTTCCCTTTGTGGCAGAGACAACCTGATGACCAGCAAGGATTCTTGTTCACTTTTCATAGCCTACAGGTATGGTGGGAAGTAGTTACTTAGACTGCTATTGCAATTCCCAGCCTGCCATTTGTCTAGATGGGTCAGGAGATTGGGTTGGCCAGTGGAACACAGAAGTGATGCATGTCTCTCCTAACCTGACTCCCCCAGATCTCCAGCACAGTTTCTGATATCTTTCTTCCTCACTTGTTAGCTGGCTATTGATAGGCAGGAAGACCCAAACAGACAATGGAGCCTCCATAAGCCCGAGTCTTAACCGGAGTCCCCAGTTCCCCAAACTGATCACTGGATGAATAAGAATTAGACCTCTGTTGCATTAAACAGCTGAGATTTTTAGAGTTTATCTGTTATTGCACCTTAACTAACATACCTAAAGAATTTGAACTTTGTTAAGTTTGCATGTGACTTTATCTGAGTTCTGCTTGAGGTATTATTTCATTAAATTTATCAGCATTTTTTTCCTTACTTGCTGGCAGATCTATGGAAAAATGGTCCAGAGTGGTATGCTTCCTGGTTGCCAAGCAACATTCAATATGCTGCCCGCTCATTTAATGAGCAACCACTTATTTGCAAGTGCTTACTATGCATCAATATATTATCGGCACTGAGGATATAATAAATAACACAACCATGTCCCTGTGTTTAGAGAGCTGACATTTTAGTGGAAGGAGGTGGAGAGGAGGGGAAGAAAGACAATACATATTCAGACCAGGGGTTGTCAGACTTCACCTTTAAAGCACCAGACAGTAAATACTTTAGGCTTTGTGGGTGAAACAGTCTCTGTAGCAACTACCCATCTCTGTTGTCACAATGCAGAAGCAGCCATAGCCAATACTGAAACAAATGAGTTTGGTTGTATTAAAAAAAAAAAAAAACCCACAACTTTATTTATGGACCCTGAAATTTTAATTTCATGTAATTTTCACATATCATGAAGTATTCATCTTTTGATTTACTTCAGCCATTTAAAAATGTAAAAATCATTAGCTCATGGCCTGTAAACAAACAGACAGTTGGCTGGATTTGGCCTGCAGGCTGGTTTACCAACCCCAGTAGAGATCAGTAAACCAACAAGAATATCTCAGAAGGGGGAAGCACTATGAAAAATTAGGATAATGGGATTGTGCTCGGCGGATGGGGGTCACTTTAGATATTTCGGTCAGGAACGGCCTTTCCAGAGTGACTTCAGCTGGGCCAGACTTGAATGACAAGGAGAGATGCTGGACATCAAACTACAGTGATGGCGAATGTCAGGTAACGAAGCAGACATTCCAGGGTAGCTGTGGAGTTGTGAGCTAGAAAAAGAGGAGCAAGAGTTCGGAGGGCTGCAGTATCTGGGTCTGAAGGCCACAGTAAGGAGTGCTGTTACCTTTCACCTGCAGTGGTGTATTAGTCGCTCAGTCGTGTCTGACTCTTTGTGACCCCCTGTAGCCCACTAGCCTCCTCTGTCCATGAAATTCTCCAGGAAAGAATACTGGAGTGGGTTACCATGCCCTTCTCTAGGGGGTCTTTCTAACCCAGGGATTGAACCTGGGTCTCCTGCCTTGCAGGCAGATTCTCTACTGCCTGAGCCACCATGGAAGCCCCTGCGGTAGGAAGCCAGTCAAAGGCTTTAAGCAGAGAAGCAATATAGCCTGATATATATATGAAGATGATCAGGTTTTGTGTTGAAAAACAGCCTTGTAGAGGGACAAGAACCTGGCCAGCAGGACTAGTGACCAGTAAGGGGGCTCCTGTGTGAGTCCAGGCAGGTGTAGAAGGTGGCTTGAGTTCTGGAGTCAGCAGTGGAAATGGAGAGAAGTGGTTGGATTGAATAGAACAGAACTCAGTATGTCTAAGGAGCTTCCCTGGTGGTAAAGGTCGCAAAGAGTCAGACACGACTTAGTGACTAAACCACCACCAGTATGTCTAAAGTTGGGTAGCAAAGATTTAAGGAAAAAACTTCCAAAGGATGTCTCGACGGGAGGGCTGTGAATGCTTCAGGACTTTTAATTAATTTTGACATAGGGAGGACTTTGTGTCACTTTCTTTCCTACCTGGTCCTTCCTTTCCAGTTACACTTGGGTCATAACTGGGAATGAAAAATTTGAGACAGGGCAGGGGTGACTGAATTCAAGTTGAGACTTGTCCTTTTTAAGACAAAACATAGCTACAGGACCAATGAGGATGAGGAAAGATGGTTACATCATTAATGATGGTCCCTTGATGAAGGACCTTCAAGAATTTTCCTGCCCTTCTGTCTAGGCAGCCACTCTAAGAATTTGTGATCCTACTTGAATTTGACAAGCCATTTTATTTGAATAGAGATCCCTATTTGAATCAGTACCCCATGGCGAAGTGGAATCTCTGAATGGCATTTCACAAGGCTTTAGATTTAGTGGAGCCACTGCACATTCTGGCATTTGAAGCTCTGAAGTGTGGGATGAATGTATGCCCAGAGACCACACACATTTCAGTAGAATGTCAATTTGGACCCAGACACCTAGAGTGTGTGTTGGCAGATCAGTCAGTGGCCAGGATACGTGCCTAAAGATCAGGAGGGAGTCCCCAAGGCTCCCAGTTAAATAGCAGCAGTCCCTTTTTATTACATACGTCAGCTAAGGCCATGCACTGTTCACATAAACCAGCATAACAAGGTTGCCCGTGACTCTGAGAAATTATTTTGTTAGGAGGCTGATTGAGTAAAAGACCTGAAGCCACAGATGTGGAGGAATTGATTTTCTGAAAGTCAGATTCCCTGTAACCAAAGGATGCCTAAACCCACGTTCAAAGAAAGGATTTAGTCATTGGAAAGTAAGTTGAAAAACAGCCCTGAGACCTGAAAAATAAAGCACAACCATTTGCTCGTGGATTTTAAAGTTACTCTGTTATTTCTGTTTGCTGATTTATCCATTCCATGGGCTTGCACAGCCTGACTCACTCATAGTCAAGGCCGATGTAAAAATCCTTGTGGCCTAAAGAAGTCAGTTGAAACAAACAAGCAAAACATGGGTTGAATGCCCAATTCATGCCAGGGGCTGCTTTGGGGAACCCCTTCACACAGGCAAGGGGGTAGCAGACATTGTTTCACTCAGTGTTGATGGAAGTCCTGTGAGATAAAGGGCATTATTCCCCATTTGGAGATGATGCCACTGAGGTTCTGGGAGGCTAAGCTGTTCAAGGTCATGTGTGTAGTAGAGAGTAAGGCAGAGACTTAATTCCTGGTGTGTCTGCCTTCAGTGCCCCAACTTGTAACCAGTCTGCCAGTGTTTCTCACCACGCCACCCAGAGCGCCGTGAAGCCCACAGGCTGGGAATAGAGAACACAAGCAATCATTGTCCGGTAGACCCTGCAGTGATGATGGGCATGATCGACATCCGTGCTCTCTAGTGTGGCAGCCTCTAGCCACCTGTGGCTATTGAGCACTTGAAGTGTGGCTAGTGCAACTGAGGGACTTATAAATTTTCATTATATAGAATTAAAATGAAATAGCCAACCATGGCTAGTGGCAACTGCGTTTGACAGCACAGGCATATCAAGTTTGAGAGACTAAGACCTAGTCTGCAATGTGCCAGAACTTCCTCACCCATTAGATCATTTAATCCCCACTTAGGTCATGAAGAAACTGATTTACTTGTCCAGAGTCACAGGCTGGTAAGTGGTGATGCCAGGATGGAATCCCAGGATTCTGGGGTAATGCTCTGACACTCTACCAGCTTCATAGTGTGTGTGCACAGCCTCTGACTTACCACACTGTGCCACCCCAAGGAACTAGGGATGTGGTGAAGGCCAGGGACAGTAAATAGAGGTGGCCTTGAGGTGTAACAAGGAAGCCCAGGGAAGGCTTTCCTGGGGAGCAACATTTACCCTGACTCTTGAAGTCAGGCTAGAATAGGGGGATGGGATAGAAGAGTCCCAGGCAGAGGGAACACATTTGGAGGCTGGGGGTGAGAAAGAACATGATATTTTCCTGGAAGTGAATGTTGGTTGGAATGACTGGAGTGGAAGGATGAAGAAAGTGAGTGTCAGAGATCAAGGTCAGAGAAATTGGCCAAGACCAGAATGCAGAGTCTGGGAGAATTCTGAATGTTTTCTCCAAGAATTTGAACGTTGTTATAAAATGTTTAGTAAGTGTGTGTGTGTGTGTGTGTGTGTGAGAGAGAGAGAGAGAGAGAGAGAGAAAGAGAGAGAATACGACCAAGTGTGGATTAGGAAAAGATGGTTAACTTCCTCAATAAACCATCATCCTCAAGTTCTTACTTGAGACCCCTCAGGAACAGTAGTGACATTTTATACACATCTATTACTTCATTTTTTCAAAATATTTTCCCATTCCTTGGATCTTTACAAGCACCCCAAGGCAAAGGTAGAGATTTTTTTTTTTTTATCTACATTTTGCAGTGAATCAATTCTCAGAGGAACAACTGATTTGCCCAGAATCCTAGCTGGCTAGCAGCAGAGCCCAGATTAGAATCCTCACTGCCTGCTTCTCTTCTAAGAGATCCAGTGCAGGACAGTGGGTTCCCCAGGCCCTCAGCTCCGGCCTGAGCCTCTCTTCAGCCCTCTCCTCCCTGTGAAATGGAAGCGAAGGGAGCTTTACCTTTCGGATGCCATCATGCTTCATTTCGATCACATGGAGGGTGTAGTTGGTCCGCCGTCCTTTCTCATTAAACTGTACATTTCCTGTCAAGCCTTCAAACCGCACCTGCAAGAAGAAGCCAGGTGGTGACCAATGAACTCTGAAGTTGCGCTTCATGTTTTTCATTTGTTGGCTTTTCCTGCTGAATTGAAAGCTCAGAACCTGAGAAACTTACATGGGATGAGGTCTTAGAGTAGCATAAATCCTAAACACCTCTCTACTCCTTTGCCTGGAGCAGGCATAACTGTTGGAGAACAGTGTTCTCCAACTAAAATGAAATTCTTCCTGAAAACTGCTTCACCCATTGCTTTTGGCCAACAGTAAGAGTGGATCGAAGTCGATCTTCATAGGAAATCTCTGTGCTGTCCTCCATCCTGTACCCCTATCAGGACCACCACTGTGAGAATCACCGCTCCTCAGACACACACCTTCAGATGCAGAAACTGAAGGAGGCCCGTGAAGGAAGAGACTGGTGTGCCCTCCCTGGTGAGTCAGGGGAAGACCCGGGAGTGGGAGCCGGCCTTGGGATGCTTTGGGCCATGCCTCAGTGTTGCTTTGTAATTCCTTTGTGAGGCCAGGGAATAAAATACCTGGGAACCTGAATACCTAGAACTGGGTGACCTGGGTTTTACCCCAGTTTTCCTCTGAACAGCCAAGTGACTGGATGGTCACCTCTCCAAGCCTCTAGTTTCCAAAATTCCTGCTCCGTCTACCTTACATGACACAGCAAATGTGAAAGTGCTATGCAAACTTTAAAGCATCTGCGGAAACTCTTTGTGGTAAGGCCAGATCATGTAGGACTTTAAACGGGTCTCAGCTGTTGAATCAGCATGTATATAGGAAGCCCCCAAATATGCCTCATAGGATTTCTTCTCCACAAATGAGTCGGATTAAACTTTCATGGCTTCCTATCTTCAGGCTCATTTTAAAGGCTGAGTGGTCAGCATGGGGGATCCAGGATCTTTGGGACCAAGCCTGCTGCTCTGGAGGTGACCAATAAAATTGGTCCACCCTCAAATTGGGGATGAGTCTAGCTGTGTGTCATCAGCTTAGGTACTAGAAATCACATTCTCCAACCATAATCTATCATGTTTCCTCACATTTGTCTGGCCTAAGGCCAGTGAGATGAGTCTGTACCTGTAACCAATATGAACTTTGCCCTCTGCTGCTGCTGCTAAGTCGCTTCAGTCGTGTCCAACTCTGTCTGACCCCATACACGCCAGCCCACCAGGCTCCCCCGTCCCTGGATTCTCCAGGCAAGAACACTGGAGTGGGTTGCCATTTCCTTCTCCAATGCATAAAAGTGAAAAGTGAAAGTGAAGTCGCTCAGTCTTTGCGACCCCATGGACTGCAGCCTACCAGGCTTCTCTGTCCATGGGATTTTCCAGGCAAGAGTACTGGAGTGGGGTGCCATTGCCTTCTCCACCCTGTCCTCTAACCCAGCATTATTTATTCCCCTCCTCTTCAAATAGGCTTCAAAGGAAGCCTTGTAGGGTGTTACCATTTTCTGACAGTGAATGACCAACCCCTCTGCCTCTGGAAGTTATAAGAATAGCTGGGGTGTGTGTATGTATTTAAGATGGGGTGTGTGGGAGGGAGAGGGAAGGAAGGAAGGAAAGGAAGGAAGAAAGAAAAGTGTGTCTCTTCTCAGGCTGACCCTCTTATCACCTCCTGGTTTGAAGTCTCAGTAGGGAGGTCACAACAGGCCTAGAGCACTGAACAAATTATGCAACAAATTCTTCACTCTCTGAGATGAAATCTGGAGAAATTCTCACGCTGGAAAATCTAGGTTACTTTTGCTTTTCAAAGAGAAAGCAAAGCACCGATCCTGCTACAAGGAATGAGACGAGAGCAATTCTAATCCATCAGCAGCTTCACCGTCTCTCCTTGGTCCTCTCTGGCCCATCTTTAGCTTCCCATTCATTGCTATGTGCCAGCTCAAGTGACTCATTTGGAAAAATAGACTGGGACAGATGTGCAGATGATTTTCAGAAACAGAAATGTGTCATTAATGATTCAAACAGGCGTCTATTTTTGGCCCCAGTGTCAAGTGTCATACTAATTATCATTATGTCATAATTCATATGCAAATTGCCTAATGCCTCTATGACTCAGTTTCCTCATTTGTTTAATGGGCCCCATTAGGGTTAATTATGTCTTAAGGTTGGTTTAAGGATGAAATTAGATATTTTTTGATCAATGCTTGCCCCATGGCAAGTATTCAACAAAGGCTAGCTCTTATTTTTATTGTTACTAATAGTGTTATTAATACTACCACCATTTTCCAAGTGTTTATGAAGCATTTTGCACATATTACTTTATCTTCATTCAGAGGAACCCCTGAGATAGGTTGGTTAGAGAGAGATTAGGATCTTCACTTTCTTTTTTTTTTTAATATTTATTTTATTTATTTGGCTATGTCAGGTCTTAGTTGCAGCATGTGGGGTCTAGTTCCCCATCCAGGAATCAAACCTGGGCCCCCTGCATTGGGAGCATGGAGTCCCAGCCACTGGACCACCAGGGAAGTCCCAGTCTTCACTTTCATGGCAGAAACCCAGACTCTGGATGGCAAAGTGATTCGCTCATGACTTAGGACTTACAAGTGTCTGAGGCAGGTCTGAAATCCAGAGCTTCTGACATATTCTGGTTTCTTCACTTCACATACAAAGTGGCCTCTCAAATGGAGGACCACGCTACTGTCCTTGGCTCTGAGAGGTGACACAGAAATGTGTGAAGTCTTGTGTTCTCCGTGCATTCAGCTGCCCCTCTATTCTAGCTGGGCCTTCCCCAGGCCACGCTCTAATTCCTCTGTACAAGTCACTAGGCCTATCTGTTTCTTTCCTCTTCAAAGGACTGAAGTGTTTAGCATATTGTCTGGGACATAAATCTTCAATGTATGGTGTCTGTTATTTAAATGATGGTGATGGTGAAGATAATGATGATTACTACTACTGATATACTGTGTTCAGTGGATACGAAGTATGGACAATAAGATTTAACATGGGTATGATACGTTGTAGCCTCACAGGAGGGGATTCTTTCAACAGAAATGAGGGTCTTGTCGCTGTCATTTATACATGCCTTTCTCAGTTTCCAAAAAAAAAATCAGCAGCAGCAAAGTTTTGTGACCTGAGGGCCTCTTACATTGCCACACTGTTTTCATAAGATGCTGCTTATGTGATGTTCCCAGAAACCCAATGAGTGGCAAAAGCAGAGGTTATTTTGCTGATTCTACAGGTAGGATTATTGAGACTCAGAGCTGTGGAACCTGTGTTCAGGATTCACAGCAAGTCAGGAGAGGCCTGGCGAGCTGAAGGCTCTTTACTGTCTAGTTGTAGAAGCCAGGACTTACACACCCTGAGATAAATTAAAGTGTGGGAAAGAAGATGTCCCAGAACTACCCTTCCATGATGGCAGAGCAAGAGGGGAGGTCAAGAGACCAGATTAGCCCCAAATCACTTATGAGGACAGTCTGGACTCTTAGAGGATTAAGCTTCTCAGAAACATATGCTTTGGCCACATCTGGAAACTGCCATCCTGTCCATCAGTACTGAGCCTCTGAGCCCCCATGCCCCATGCCACCCCCATGCTGGGGTGACAGGAGTCAGGCCATGGGAGACCTGGAGTATCCCTGAGTTCCTGCCTCTTGGACCTCCCCAAACTACCCTGGCACCTGCTGACTCCCTCCATGAAAGATGGGGATTTAACTGAATTTCCTGTCATTTGTATTGGGTGCCAGCTCAGTGTCTGCCATCCATGAGATGCTGAAGCATACTTGTTCTTTCCTGCTGGTGCCTGGAGAGTGCTTGTTAGCATTTTTACTACTTGAGCCATTAGCCCTGACAACTGATTCCTGCATCTCCAGCCCTGGGGGCGGGGGCGGTGGAGATACCCTGGCCCAGGGCTTCTATAGCCTCTCTGTGGCTGCCTTGAGGTGGGTCTGTTCTCTTGGCTTCTCCTCCTGAATGCCCACTGGGTGTGGGAAGCCAGAGTCTGTGGACCAGGGCCCAGGGGACCACGTGCTGGTTATTCTAGTGGGCAAGCAAGTCTCAGGACCCCTCTGAGCTTCCACTTTCCCACCTGGTCAATGGGAAGAATAATCCTGGCTCTAGCTATCTCAGGCAGTTGCCCTGAGCTTCAAAGAAACTTATATATTATCCTTTAAAAAATTTCTTTTTGAGCCTTGTCACAAGTCAGAAAGGGAGGCAGTGTTATGAGGATTATACTCATTTAAGAGATGAAGAAATTAATGCCAGAAAAGTTGAGCAATTAATCCAGGATCCTCCTGATAGTGCTTGGTGGAGGCATGGTGAGATCCCAGCTCTTGTCCTCCTAACATACAAATAACCAAGCACAATGCCCTGAAGTCCTGCTTGTACCCTCTCTGTAGATTCCTGCCAGTATCCTTTACATTCTCACCCAGACCCTCCAAAACTCGAATCACTCTTCGTTCAAAGTCATTCTTCCTTTAAGGCATGCATGACCATCCATCTCAGTTTGCTTGGGATCGATCCAGTCTACATCTCTTGTTGTGGGATAATTGGTAATAGCTCTCCCTTTCATTCCTCAGTGTCCCAGGTTGGATGATAAATTATACGGTAATCCTATTTAAATCCCCAGTCACATGCCTACAGATAGTCTGGTAATGTCCACAGTCCTCAGTTGTAGCATTCTTTTCTGACCATCCAGAGTACCAACAGCCTGGCTATATATGTGATTTAGTTCCTAATCCACAACTTTATGGCTATTATTTCTTAGGAGCTTCTATTTCCTTCAACACTGGGTCTTCAGTTTGAGTTGCAGGACTGTGTCTTATACCCTTATTCCCTGCCCTGACCTCATCTAGCAAAGTGCCCTGTTCATCTTCACTTTGATGTGTGTGATCATTGGCTGACAAACTGCAGCACAAATGCTGAGGGGGCTGATCATTATTTAGGGCAGGTATTCTTCAACTTCAATTCTTTAACTTCTTAGCTGGGCTTCTGGAAGTGTCTGTGGGTCCCCCTGACTCATGGTCATGCGAAAATATATGTGCGCGTGTGTGCATTTTTCTGGGGAAATGGTACAAAGCTTTTTTTGTCCTGTCATATCCTCAAAGGGCCGATGACCTCCTAAATGCTAAGAACTTGGCTTGGGGAATTCACTCTTTTCTGCCAGCCAGAACCCAACTTATAGGTACCCTAATGCTTCCTCTTTCCTGGAGCATTGAGGAGTTCCAGGATTGTGGTATCATTAATATTCTGAGTGGCTCCTTGGATGTCAGGCAGGGTGAGGAGATGGGGGCAGGCAGGCGGCTGAGTTATCTTCACTCTGCCCCTGGGGAAACTGTGGCGGGGGGAGGGGGAGCCAAGACCCTTGGATATTACCCAAGGCCATGTGCTGTAGCCGGCTGGGCTAGAATTCATTCTCATCTGCTGGACTGAGGCTTCAGAGCAGAGCAGTTAAGGGTACAGTGAGATAGCAAGGAGATGTGGGGTGGGATTCCACTTTTACCACTAACTAGCTGTATAATCTGGGGGCGTTCTTGAACATCTGTGTAGCTCAGTGTCTATATTTATAAAGCACAGCTAATAAAACCAGCTACCGCAGAGGGTTATATTATAGGGGATTCAGTGAGATCAATCATGTAAAATATGTTCAGAACCTTGTGCATAGTGAGTCCTGGACATGTCATAGCTGGTGTGACCCTAAGTTTTAGAGTAATGTGCTTATTCCTCCTGGTCTAACTCACAGACTTCCCAGCTTGACCACAAGCTGACCCTCAGGTCCCTCCCCACTTGTGACCTGAAGGTCAGAGATCAGGGTAGAAGTGTCTTGAGATCCCAAGTTAGTGTCCAAGGACTGACTGGCATTGGGATTTACCTAGTATACTAGGGCACACAGATTCTCCCTAGTGGCATGGCTATTTAAAGAGATGGGCCTAGAGGGTAAAATGGCTAGACAGTAGCCACGACTGTGTGTGGGAGGCCCTGAGGCTCAGTATGTACAAGCAAATGTCCCTGGGGTCACAGGACAGGCTAGGGGCAGGAGGAGGAGCCCCAGCTGGGGATCTTCCCTGCTGCTAAGCTGCTGTGTGATCCTGGGGGAGTTACTGCCCACTCTGGGTCAGCTGCTTCATCGCTAATGTAAGGAAAATTGGGAGTCATCATCTCTCAGGTTTCTTTCTGCCATGCATTTTTGTGATTTGAAGTGATAAACAAAGATTTGATTCAGTTTGAACAGCTGATCTTTGGATCAGAATGTTGATTATATTTTGTTTTTCTTTTTGTGGCTAGTTCTCCCCACCCTACCTCTAGCCACAATAGAGACTAAATAGAGTTTCTTGAGGACAGGCCTTGCCTTCTAATTGTCCCCACAGCTTGGCCCTAGGCCAGAGCATACAGTAGGCTCGCAGGAACAAGCTGACTGGCCCATACATGTCTTGACTCAAGATGGTATAGAGCAGTGGTTTTCATCTTTTCTGGCACCAGGGACTGGTTTTTTGGAAGACAATTTTTCCATGACCAGGGTAGTGGCTCCTGCCATGGTTTCAGCATGATTAAAATGCATTACATTTATTTGTACTTATTTCCATTGTTATTAATATTACATCAGCTCCACCTCAGACCACCAGGCATTAGATCCTAGAGTTTGGGGACCCCTGGTATAGAGGAGATCATTATTATTTTGATGAAAGCAGTTGCCTCCTCTCAACTCCACTGAAGGCAGAAGCAGAAGACTGAGCATGTTACAATCAGAAAGACATGGGTTAGAGCATAAGGAACATTAATTAGATGCTTAGAGTTCGTGAGAACTGAGAGTGGTCTCTCTGACTGCCTCACTGTCATGGGTGAGGAAAGGGAAGGGTATGGGAGATCTGAATGAGTATTTCAAGGTCACCCAGAGACTCAAGAGCCCAGCTGGTCTTGGACCCCAGGTCTCCTTGGGAGATTGGCAGAGTCCTTTCTGCCAATCACATTGTCTCCAGGCTTCATCACTGTCATGGTGATGTCAGTGTATCCTTCCAGGGACATCCTTAAGATGAGAGAGGCAAGGGAGTTGGAAGGGTTGGGAAGCTGAGGGCAAGTCCCTGGGACCTTCTGAAACCAGCTTCCCATTGCAAACAGAAGCTGTCTCGACTGTGGAGCCTGGAAGAGCATTTAAAGTAAGCCAGAAGGCAGGCACCACACCTTTGGCAATCATTCTGAAGCTGCTGGGTTGTCGGCTCTTGCTGCCTAGCTATTCGGGGCCATCCTGCACAGTGATGGGGGGTGGGGTGGGGCAGAAAGGGCTGTGGGTGGACCCGTTTGCATCTAGCCACAGGGCAATTGCTTTGCTTTATTCCAAAGGACAGAAGTCTGTGTTCTCTTCCACGTGCAGGTGCTTCATCTGAGATAAAGAACAACTGATGATATTCCCATCTTGTGTGTTTCTCCAGGTTGTAAAAATTGCTGGAGCTGTGCATGTGTGGTTGGAAAACAAATGGGAACAGTTGTACGTTTTGCTCTACATTTTTCCCTCATTTAGAAATGCTCCTCTCCTCTCTTGGATGGAGAGAGCAGGTCCTGAGAGTCATTTGCACCAAAACATCTTGCTGTTGCCAGCTCAGCTCTGTGTCTGATCCTTGGACATTCCTCTGAAGTGAGCCCTGCCCTCTGTGCCCAGTCCCCTTTGGAAATATGGTCTCTCTCAGGAGGCATCAGAGGCATCATAAAGCGTGGTATGTGTCAGGACTTGGAGAACTAGTCTGTGCTTGAGGTGCTTCTAGAAACTTCTAGAGATTTCTAGGTGTTCAGAGAATTATAAAGCTGGGCAAGTCCCCAGAACTTTCTAAACCAGGAATGTTAAATACACGGCTCACGTGTATCTGTCTAATCCTGCTTCCACAGCAGACATATCACTGAGTGTTTCTATTCCTCCCTGTTGAATCTGGATTCAGCCTCAGAATCCTCTGCAGAGTCAATTGATTGGAAGGTCGTGACCATTTTCTATCCCTGTTCTTTGCCCGTTCTTCAGTGCAAACAAAATTGATGATTGCAATGCTGAGAAGCAAGAAAATAGAATCAGAAATGTCAAGAAACATTTTCAGGGTCCCATCCTGACATGTGCCCAGACAGCAAAGATAATGAAGAAATCTAGAAAATCAGGGCAAGAGAGCAGAGTCTCTGAGAGCCTGCAAAAATGGTTCAGTTTCATCCTTGTGTATCTCAAGTCCCCTTTCAAATACAGCATCACTGGCTTCCCCTTCTTAGCATAAACCCTAAGCAGAAAATAGAGCTCTTGTGCTGTCAGGAATGACTAGTCCATACTATTAAGTTTTTTAATTTTGTTTTTCAAATTTCTACATGACCTTTCTTATATGTCAGAGCCACAAACACAATGCAGTGCTGGTCCAAACTTCCGGTGTGCTCCACCTTTTTTTTTTTTCCAATAGCTACATCCCACCTGGCACTGATGCTGAAATCCCCTGCGAGGCTCCCATAGGCTGGGGCCACCATCGTTGCCAGCCTCACCTGCTGCAGAGCTCTCTGGATGTCGATGCCCTGGCCCCAGGGCACGGCTGGGTTAGCCAGGCAGTCCCCAGCATTCCCCCGGCGGGAGATATCGATTCTCTGCCTCCGCAGGCTCTGGAAAGCCTCAGCCATCACTTTCACCCCATCGTAGGTGAGCGCAGAGGTGTACTGGTGGGAGGAACAGAGACAGTTGGTGTCAGAGAGAGAGCTGGCAGGGAGGCAGGTTGGAGCTGTATCTGGGAAGGAGCTTCCTGGTGATGAGGATGCCTGCAGTGAGCCAGGGATGGGGGGTTATGTGGGGACGGGGAGCAGCTGTAAGCCAGGAAGCACCTGTCTCTCAGATGGAGGCTGCTGCTCCACCTCCCTAGCCAATATTGCCCTCCTGACCTGTGAGCTCAGTATTATTGCTGGTTGTGAGGCTCAAAGAGAATTCTAGAATTTTCTATCCAATCCACTTTAAAATGTTGGTTCATTTGAGGGAAAAAGGCATAGATTGAATACAAAACATCTAAATTAAATACAACACATCTGTATCTGTCTGATACAGTCCATGAAAACAACTTGGTTTTCTCTGTGTCACCACTTGGGAGCCAAGAACAGTTTACTCCACCATCCCTGGTGACAGTAAAAGCAAAAAAAAAAAAAAAAAAGAATACTCTGAGAAGGGTAAGCTCTTAATTATTTCCACATGCAGTTAACTCAAGTGGCAAGTTTATATTCCACAAAATTTCCTCTTGTGCTTTTTCATGCTAGGCCTCAATTTTATCCCCATCTTATCTAAGAAGGTACTAAAATATTGAAACAAAAGCAAGATAACAATCCAGAACAACATTTCCCAGCACTGGCAATCATATCTATTCTCATTAATTTGTCTCTGATGTCTAGCATGTTCTATGGTACGTCCTAAGTTCACAGTGCAGTCTTGTAGAATGAATGTATAGGTATTTTTCCAGCTTTTTATTTTGCTCCTTTTGCTTTTGGAGCTTTCCTGGTGGTAAACAATCTACCTGCCAAGCAGGAGACATGGGTTCAATCCCTGGGTTGGGAAGATCCACTGGAGAAGGAAATGGCAGCCCACGCAAGTATTCTTGTCTAGGAAATACCATGGTCAGAAGGAGCCTGATGGGCTATAGACCATGGGGTTGCAAAGAACTGGACATGAGTTAGTCACTGAGTGTGCATGCGCACGGACACACAAACACTTCCTTTTTAAAGTAAAGACATTACACTTGGTTATCTTTATAATCACTTCCAATCTTTTGGAAATTGGGTGGGATAGTCACATGTTAATGAATGAAACTGTTCTGTAGCTTACCCATTGTTTGAAATCACATTTGTGATTTTGTTTGCTTAAGCTCATGTTGAAGTGCCTTTATTTCTAAGTTCCCGAATCAGTTTGAGCAAAACTGGGATGACAGTGTCTTGGTTCAGTGGCCTGACATTTACAAAATGAAACTGACCAGGGGCAAGAGAAAGTTGGCAAGGATCCACTGTTGGCCCTGGATAAACAGATTTAGCCTCAGAATCCTTCTCAACACAGTGTTCCCCATAGCCACTGCCAAGCTGTTAGATTTGATGTGGGAAAGAGAAATTATCCTCTATTCTTATTCTGGAGTGAAAGTGAATGTCGCTCAGTTGTGTCCGACTCTTTGTGACCCCATGGACTATACAGTCCATGGAATTCTCTAGGCCAGAATACTGCAGTGGGTATCCCTTCCCTTCTCCAGGAGATCTTCCCAACCCAGGGATCAAACCCAGGTCTCCTGCATTACAGGAGGACTCTTTACCGGTTGAGCCACAAGGGAAGCCCAAGAATACTGGAGTGGGTAGCCTATCCCTTCTCCAGTGGATCTTCCTGACCCAGGAATCAAACTGGGGTCTCCTGCATTGCAGGCAGATTCTTTACCAACTGAGCTATCAGGGAAGCCCATCTTTATTTTAAACCATTATCAAATAGAAAACAAAATAGATTTTAGCCGCAGAGTTTAAAGCTGCCTTGCTGGGAATGAGAGACTGGTAGTCTGCATGATATTTGGGAGTTGACTTTCTGAGGCAGAAATGTACTGGTTATTGCTTAGTTAGATTTCCTTGACTTTTAGCCAGATATGCAGCTGACCAGAAGGACCAGCCCACTGCACAAATCTAGGAGGCTCAATTCATGAAGAAATAAATGCTAATATCATCCCCCTGGAGTTGTGCAACATGGTGGTCCTGCACAGAGTAGAGACACCATTTTCCAGTTCCTGCTGTAGCTAGCTGGGGTAGGTTCCTGAGATGTGGCCAATAGCGTGTGAGAGGAAGATCTGTGTGTGACTGCTGGGAAGAGTTCTCAAGGGAAACAGTTTTGCTTTCTATTTCCCTTTTCCCTTCCTGGTGGGTAGAATACTGAGGTAACTGTTGGTGCTTCTGCAGCCATTTTGGGCTATCAGGTAGCAGCTATATGCTGAGGATAGTAGAATAGGAAGACAGAAAAAGTCTCTAAGTGTTTGGTGATTGTGAAACCATTATGCAAGCCCCAGACTGCTGACTTCTGAATTTTGTTTATATGAAAAAGGAGCAAAATGTCTATCTTGTTAAAACCTTTGTCATTCTGGAATGTTCATACCCTCAGTCTTTATGGATCTACTTTCCTTAGCTTGTTCCTCTTAGAAAGTCTGTCCTTTTCTTACGGCGAATACTACCCAGGAATCTAGGGCAGGCGAAGGGACCAGCAGGGTCCTTTCTTGCCTTAGGTCTCTTACCTTAGGTCTCTTCCAGTCCACCCGGGTGTGGTCCCGAGCATCACTGTTTTTCCACTGCTGCATGATCTTGGCCGGGATGGTGTCTGTGTAGTTCACCAACTGGAAACCTGTTACGTTTGCTCCACTCTCCTTGAATTTGTTTAAGTCAATGTCCATGAAACCCTGGGTGGTGAGGAAGGGAAAGAAGTTAGAATATGGATGCATCAATTTAACCATGTTACAGAATCACAGCATTTTCCACCCTGTTCAGACTTAAGGTGAAACTGACTTAATGGAGAGGCAGTTGCAGTTCCCTTCCTTCTGACCTCTGTTATTACTTACTTGGTGTGCTAAGTTAGCACATTGGTTAAGAGCACTTGCTCAGGAGCCAGCCGTGCCTGGGCTGAAGGGTAGGCTCTGCTACTCAGAGTTACATACTCTACCTTGGACCAAGTTCCCTGATGGTTTCCTGTATGAATAATGGAGGTTAGGAGGCTGGGGAGAAAAAGTAGTGCAATGATGCATGTCAAGTCCATGTTGCAAGACTGAGTGATCAATAAACAGTGGCTGGGATTATTATAACAACACAGATATATGAGAGTTTAAAAAACATGAGGAGGGACCTTTGTCCTTTACCATCATCACTCTGCCCTTTCTGACTGGAGAGGCATCTGAAGTCTCTCCGGGGCAAGCTTCTGTGGGCTCCCCAAGGTCCCCAGCACGTCCCCAGCACGTCTGGAAGAGGCTGGATGCTGGTTATGCCTCCCCACCTCCCCCCAACCCTCTCCGCCCGGTGCTTTTTCCTGTGCTGCAGGCAAGGTCTTGCAAGTGAGGCCGGATCAATTCTCCTATCCACAAAGGATTTCTTATTAGGAATGAAACTTTCCTCCCCATTTGGTGAAGTTCATTCAAACTCAGGAAGCCTTCAAGATAGAAAGGAAACCTTGTATCTGTATAATATATTCCATAGTGTACTGTACTTTCAAATCTATGGCTGCATTTCACTTTAATGCCTTTATAAGGTATTAAAAAGCAGAGACATTACTTTGCCAACAAAGGTCTGTCTAGTCAAGGCTATGGTTTTTCCAGTGATCATGTATGGATGTGAGAGTTGGACTGTGAAGAAAGCTGAGCGCTAAAAAATTGATGCTTTTGAACTATGGTGTTGGAGAAGACTCTTGAGAGTCCCTTGGACTGCAAGGAGATCCAACCAGTCCATCCTAAAGGAGATCAGTCCTGGCTGTTCATTGGAAGGACTGATGTTCAAGCTGAAACTCCAGTTCTTTGGCCACCTCATGCAAAGAGTTGACTCATTGGAAAAGACCCTGATGCTGGGAGGGATCAGGGGCAGGAGGAGAAGGGGACGACAGAGGATGAGATGACTGGATGGCATCACCAACTTGATGGACATGAGTTTGAGTAAACTCTGGGAGTTGGTGATGGACAGGGAGGCCTGGCATGCTGCAATTCATGGGGTCGCAGAGAGTCAGACATGACTGAGCAACTGAAATGAACTGAACTGAAGGTAGAAATTGTACTTCTGTTTGCCAGATAAAGAAACTGAGTTAGAGAATTGCTTGCACAAAGTCATTCAGTGATTTAGTGGCATAGAGGGGACAGTAACTAAGGCCTTCTGAAGGCCTATGCTTACTTATTCTCTTGTCATAAATTCAACAAACATTTTTTGAAAGCCAGTGTACCATTCTAATGCTATCCTAATGCAGTGTATTATTCTAATAGTGAGTAAAATAAGTTCCTTCTCTTATGAAGTTTACTTTCTAGTGGGAAGAATAGACCATAAACAAACTACTGTGTATAAAATAAGCTAAAAGGAAAATAAAATAAAATAAGCTAAAAGGATATATTGTACAATACAGGGCAAATGTTTTATAATAACTATAAATGAAATATAGCCTTTAAACATTGTGAATCACGGAGAATTGATGCTTTAAAATTGTGGTGCTGGAGAAGACTCTTGAGAGTGCCTTGGGCAGCAAAGAGCTTAAACCAGTCAATCCTAAAGGAAATGGGTCTTGAGTATTCATTGAAAGGACTGATGCTGAAGCTGAAGCTCCAATACTTTGGCCGCCTGATACGAAGAACTGACTCATTGAAAAAGACCCTGATGCTGGGAAAGATTGAGGGCAGGAGGAGAAGGGATGACAGAGGATGAGATGGTTGGATGGCATCAGTGACTCAATGGACATAAGTTTGAGCAAGCTCCGGGAGATGGTGAAGGACAGGGAAGCCTGGCATGCTGCAGTCCATGGGGTCGCAAAGAGTTAGACACACCTTTGCAAGTGAACAACAGCAATGTGGTATTTATTATACATCAACTATATTTCACTTTTTAAAAAGTAAGCATGCAGCAGTGTATAGGGTAGAATCCAGTACAGAATACTACGTGGTAGGTAGCTATGCGTCCTCTGAAGGAAGACGAAGAGGGGAAAGAGGATGAGGAGGGGAGGGCAGTGCCTGGCCCTGGGAGGCATGATCCAAATGAGCTGCCCTGAGGAGGTGGTGTCGACACAGGGACCTGACTGATGTGAAGCTGTGGCATGAGCTCTGGGGGAATCTGGGGAAGAGCATTCTGAGCAAAGGCTTAGAGATTGGAGGATCCTTAGCATATTCTAGAAACAGTAAGAAGACTGGTGTGACTAGCACAGCACGAGAGAGAGAGAGAGGGTGGGAAATGCAGTTGGGGGGTGGGGGGCAGCCCAGGGTTGGATCCTAGAAAGCCTTGTGATAATCTGGGTTTCTCTTTAGGTATAATTGGTGCCCACTTCAGGAATTTGAGCAGGGATCACAAAGTCATTGCTCTCTGAACTCTGTGGCTTAGGGAAACTGCCAGATCCCAAGGGGTGAAATGGGGGAATGAATACGGGAAGTAGTTTGGTGGATTGAGGCTAGGAAGAACTGTGGTCTGGCAGCTCTGAGCCCCCATCACTGCCTCAGCTCTGCCTGGAGACCCTAAGACATTGTCCTAGTCTCTTGATTTCTCACTGACTCGATCTGGCTTCCTTACCTAAAAGATCTGGTCATCAACTAGTGTAAGTTCAATGTATGAAGCAGGGCACTCAAAGCCGGTGCTCTGGGACAACCCAGAGGGACGGGGTGGGGAGGGAGGTGAGAGGGGGTGTTTGGATGGTGGGACACAAGTACACTCATGGCTGATTCATGGCAAAAACCGCGACAATACTGTAAAGTAACTAGCCTTCAATTAAAATGAATTAATTAATTTTTTAAAAAAGAATAGAATTAAAAAAATAAAACATCTGGTCATCAATAACTTCATGGCTCAAAGACCTTCCCCCCATCCTATGCCTCTAAAGTTCAGTGATTCTTTATTTTTCCTATTTTATAAACAAACTAAGCTCAGCTTTACTCTGAGCCTTTGCCCAGCTATTCTCTATGCCTGGAAGGGAGTTCTCCCTGGCCAGCTCATGTCCATCCTTGGGTCCCAGCTAAAATGCAGTGTCTTCAGAGAGCTTTCTCCTGTAACATGCTTAGTTGCTCAGTTGTGTCCAACTCTTTGCAACCCCATGGACTAGGGTCTGCCAGGCTCCTCTGTCCATGGAGTTGTCCAGGCAAGAATACTGGAGTAGGTTGCCATTCCCTTCTCCAGGGGATCTTCCTGACCCAGGGATCAAACTGGTTCTCCTGCACTGCAAGTGGATTCTTCACCATCTGAGCCACCTGGGGCTCCTTATCTAAAGACCCAGTTCTCATCCTTGATAGATGCCCTTGGTGTTCTGTTCATTTCCACATCTCCCCAGTAGACACTGATATTCCACTTTTTATACTAACTACAGCTACCTATTACTTCACCCACAGGTAGGGTAAGCCAGATGTATTGAGGAGTTCATACACCCAGAGCAGCTCTCTGCTCTTGGGGAGTTAGTAGAATCCATAGCCCTCTCCCTTGGGTGGGTTACCATGAGGTACTCTCTACAGCCAAGTCTAGAGCTTCTGTAAGGGATGGAGTTCCATAGCCCCAGAGATAAGTGCCTTGATTATACACCTTTTTCAGCTGCCTGCTTTTCCATCCCTACCTTCTTCTTGTTGTTCAGTTGCTCAGTGGTGTTTGACTCTTTGTAGCCACATGGACTGCAGCAAGCCAGGCTTCCCTGTCCTTTACTATCTCCCAAAGTTTGCTCAAACTCATGTCAATTGAGTCAGTGATGCCATCCAACCATCTCATCCTCCACTGTCGCCTTCTCCTTCTGCCCTTAATCTTTCCCAGTGTCAGGGCCTTTTCCAATTTGTAAACTCTTACGTCCCTACCTCACATCCCTGATTCCCTGATGTTATTTCTCAGATTAGCATCCAAAGAAGCTACTTGTATTTGAATTGCTGTCTTAAGACCTGGTTCTAGTAGAACTCAATCAAGTTACTTCCAACATGCAGTCCAGTCAGTTCCTTCTCAGTGCTCTGCTTATCACCCATTTGAGATGATCTGGTTTGCTTATTTGTTTCCTTGTCCTCTCTCCTTGTGTTGGAATGTCAGTTCCATAAGAGTAGGGATATTTTTCTGTTTTGTTGATGGTTGTGTCCTAGAACCCAGCATCTAGCACCATGTCTGACACAAAGTGGGTTCTCAATACATTTTTATTGGGTGAATGAATAAAAAAAAGCCAAAGACATTTCTCAAGCAACAATGCTAATTTGTCAGGGAAAGTATGATCTCCGGCAATAAATCCAGTGGATGATTTAAATTGTTTGACAAGGGAAACTCATGTTGGAAATGCATTCAGTGACTAACTTTACCTATAGCTATAGTTTACAGACATTCACAGGGGTCTGCTGAATTGTGCAAGGATTCTAGCAAGCTTTTACTGCAGATGAAATTGGAATTAGGTTCTTATACCCAACAGGCATCCTAAGACATTCTACCACCTAAGAGTACAGCCACCCCACCCCTGGTTAAAGGCTAATGCACAGTGGAGAGATTTCCCATAATTTTTAGAGATTTTAAAAAGAACATCTTATTCATAAAATAACTATTGAGAGAATAAAATGAAAGCCATCTCCTGCAGTCAAATTCCATCGCTTGAAAATCTGTAACAAGCTCCAGGGCATTTTGTACTGACTGCCCCCATCAATGTAATGGGGGCCAAAGGAAATGGCAGAGTTTATTCAAACATAAATGCCACTCAGCTCTATCACCAGAATGTCTGACTGCA